CACCAATCTCAAAGAAACTCTCATCCTTTTTAAGTAGTCGGTGGCTCTATTGGTGATCTGTCATAAAAGACATGGCTATCTTGCAACAACATTCTATATAGTACAAAGTGGTGGGTAAGTAAAAATCTTTGACGTCTTTGTACACCAAGGCCAGTTATAGATTCAAACCTATACACTATCCTCCAATACCTAGAAACACTATCATTTGTTCTATGAAAGCAATGCCATTGTAAAGTGAGTTAAGAACCAGAGTTAAGAGCCAGATGAAAGATTGAAAAGGTGAAGCTGAAATTCAGAAATAGCATAGGCAAAATATCTCAACTGGCAGGTCTGGCACTCTCTACCAAAGCTATAGGATGGTCTCACTACGTATCACAAATTAAATTAGGGAATAGATATGACAATATGAGAGCACATGCCTGTTATAATAGTTCAAGTTTTTAAGCTATCTCACCATAACACTTAGACTTGGTATTCTTGTCCCCTAAAGTGCCCTTGGAAAATAGAAGAAACATGTATATATGGTGTTCTGTTATGCATAACATCTTACTATAGATTTTTATCAAGAAATTTCCACACTCTGCTACAGAAGTAAGGAATTTACCAGATTCTGAAATCTAGATCTAATGAGAAGAACTGCCTGGGTAACAGTCGGTTTTTTTTCTGCACCTTGACTCCATGAGTGTTTTGTCAATATTGAGCAATCACAGCCTCACAGGACAGCATAAGCACGAAACTGAAACAAGCAGTAGCCATTACTGACAAGCACTTAATTTTCTCAATGCCACCGCTGTATATATCTTTGTGCAAGAAACCCTTTTTTTTAAAATAAAAAATAAAAGTGTCAACTGTAGAAGCTCATGAATCAACAAATTGGCTGTCACAGACCAATTCCTAGAAAGTAAGCAAAGATACAAATATCCAACTAATACATTTGTTCTTGTATGTCACATTGTAAGCTTGTAAAAATTCATTGCAACGAATTTTAGAAATAAATGATGATTACAAGCATGACATGAACCAACAAGGGCAAATTCTCAAAAAGTCATCAAAACACTAGACACCAAGCAAAGAAGTTTTCAAGCAAGATTAGTCAGTCAAATGTAAAGGCATGTACATCAAATCATTTATCTGACCACAAGCTGCAAGACCACAGTAATTACACGGGTTCATGTGATGCAGCCTATGCAGCTATTTGTCTAATGGAATCATTTAAGGTTCAACTAGTAACATTTACAAGGTAGAATAGCAGCAAACTTTACAAAATACATGAATGAAAAGATGGAATATAGATGGCAACAGAATCATTGGAAGTTCAGCTATTATTTCATACAGAAAAACACCATAGCGAGGCAACCTCGAGGAAAGAAGGGCATTCTTCATCCCTCGTCATTGAAAAGAATTGAAAGCTTCTCTCTGCATACAGATCTTTATTATTTGATTTCTGTTTCCTAAAAAATCTGTCATTTATCCCGCAAAGCCACACTACTGGCAAACAGAAAGAAAGAAAAAGACAGGCGCAGGGCAAAAAAAAAAAGGTCCTAGTTAGGCTAAAGCCCTTTCATAAATCATAAACTAGTAAAAGTACATCATTGAAGCCTCCTTTTCCACTGCAGGGAGTGCAAGGAATTCTTGAACAATAGAAAGCTCCTTTCATGGCACAAGAGCTACAACATAACATACATTGCCAACCACATTGACTAAGAGATAGCATGCAATTGACGAATTCAAACTCACTCATGCCTATAGATATTAGATCATACATAGCATGTAATTAATGAAATTAAAAATATGATGACAATTGACAATAGAGATTAATAAACAAAAAAAAAATCAGGAAGTCCTATTATTTATTTTCTATTGATAGGTTCTGGCTCCAAAGAACATATATATGATGCTATGTCATCCAGCTCAAACATATTAACACATTAAGAATATCTTAGGGAGATTGTAATAGACTAACTTATTGCAATTATAATTTAAGACAATTTGCAAGAACCAAGGCTTAAACTTGAGTATTTGATTCACTGATGATTGAATTACAAGGGATAGGCATAACTTGAGGTTATGAATCTCACAGTAGCTTGAGGCCACTAGTCTCTCATGTATTTTCACTAATTTCTCGATAGTCTCTACTGTCCCCTAACTACAATACATATACTCAAGACTTAACTAGAACATGTGACATTAATTAACTAAAATAGAAACCCACAAAGGTTATGATTAAAGGAGGCTGCCTTCTTTCCTCAACTTCCCCTTAATTGGCCTTGTCCTGTTGTTCATTGTTCCTTCTCACAATTGACCCTTGCTGCTGCCCCTGTTTTGCGCGCCTGGAGTACACCAAAAGTGGTGGTTGAATTGGTCCGATAGCTTTGTTGACCTTATTGACCCGTTCCATAACAGAGATCCTATCTTAGATGTAATCCCAATCAGCAATAACCCAACGTTGTGACAATTAACACCAAGTTAGTTGCAATCAGTATCAAAGTGTCTTGCTGATATAGAATCAAATCATGGTGATGTAGCCGGCAGCTGTTTGATGTCAGATAATAGCATATATTTAAGTGCAATTTTACAAGTAGTCTTCTGACTCTTCTCCAATTGAAGTCTGCAAAAATTTTACCTTAATAAGTTCAAGGTTACTGGTAAACAACAATACTCATCAGATCATCTCCTCCCAACTCCCAAGTAAATTTAGTCAAAAAGCAGTATTGACAGCAAGAATACCAATTGCAAAGGTCAAATAATTATATAATAGTTTTTACGTAGCAGATCCAAACTCATTCAGCAGAACCATTTGAGCTTCAGCTAATACTTCGTCTAGAAAGCTGTTATAGCATAGCAGGCTTGAAGAAAGAAAGCCCCTTCATTAATTATGCCATGACATGCCTCTTCTTGTACTGCAGGGGATCCTCAAACGATAATAAGACATTCCCATATCATAGGAGTTAAGACAGTAGCAAATATTACCTACCAACCATACTGGCTAAAATTTATAGTATACAATGGCCAAATCCAAGCTCAGTAACACTTATAGGTAAAAGGTCAGACATAACAGTTAATGATGCACATTAGCATGTGCGTGAAAATTAATGACTCGAGCAGCACATTTTGTGATCAAAGTGCCCCCTACTCCCATTCAACTAGATTAGCATGCTACGAAATCCAAAGGTGATCCTGCATTATATGATTCCAATTAACAGAATAACAGCACCAAAACAAATAACAGATTCAAGAAGCAAGTTGTAGATACCAGCTTAACTGTATTGACATGGTAAAAAAAAAAAAAAATCCGAGGGCAATCTTGTATTAGATTAGATGTGATCCCAATTAGCTATGTGACATACAATACCGAGTTATTTGCAATTAGACTCAAAGTGTATTGCTGTTGGAGAATCAAGTCATGGGACACATAGCTAGCAACTGTGTGATGTCTAGTTAATAGCATGTATTACATTTGGTGCAAATTTTCAAGTAATCTTTCCCATTACAAGTTAGACCTTAAAATAACAAGTTTGGCTGTCAACAACAATACTTATCTGACTATTTTCTCCCATGTATAGAGTCAAAAGGCAGTATTCATATCTAACTATAGTACAAAACTACACAAGTCACTTAACCAAGGTATCAACACTTCAGAGTATAACATTAACATTTGAAAACAGATTTCAACATCGAAAGCAAAACATTAATCTCAAAAGTCACATAATGACTAAATGGTTTATTAATAGCAAAATCCAAACTCACTCAAGGGAATCATTTGAAATGTAGCTATTACTTCATCTGGAAAGCTGTCGCGAAGTAGGCTCTAGGTAAGGAAGTCTCCCTTCATGCTCACAAAGTCGAAAAGACTTGAAGAAGCATCTTTAAACAGATGTGTGAAAATCACTGGTATTGTATTCCCAGAACACCCTTAATGTGTCCTCCCAAGTCCCATACCTTGAAAAGACAAAGAAAGAAAGAAAAAAAATGGTCAACAAACACATAAGATAGTCTAATTCTAAAGCCCCTCTTTCATAAACTAAGGCATGCTTGCCTCTTTGTCTGCTGCAAGGGTTTCTCAAACAATGTTAAGCTAATTTCATATCACATGAGTTAGGAGTTTAGGACAGTAGCAAATATTACCTACCAACCATGCCGAATAAAAGAGATAGTATGCAATAGACGAATCCAAGCTCAGTATCACTTATATAGATATAAAATCAAACATAACAATTAATGATGCACATTAGCATAACCGTGGTAATTAATGACTCAAGCAGCACATTGTGAGATCAAAGTGTCCCTTGCTCTCCTGTCACTCCCACTCAACTAGATAAGCATGCTATAATCCGAAGGCGATCCTGCATTGTATTAATACCAATTAACAGCACCATAACAACACCATACTAGCTTATATTTAGAATCAAAAGTAGCATCAACTCTATTGATGTCAATCAATAGCTAAATACTCATTAACTGCAAATTTTGAAGAAACCCTACCATTTCAATTCTTCAAAAATAATAAGTAACAAAGTAAATTTAGCCAAAACCATATAATTAGCAATTAAGAACAAAAATTCAATATCTCAAATTGTAACACCATCGACTTAATTAACCAAATTGCTGCTGCCACGGCACTCTACAAATAACTTAACTTGAATTAAACCACATTAAATGAATCAAAAATTGTTAATTAGGAGCAGATCGGACCTTAATTATCACGGCATATTCACTAATTCATTGATCCGCAATAAAATTAAACGCAACCCACAAAATCATTCCGTCACCAATAATTGCAAAATTAATTCCAGATGCTAATTATGCATTTAACACTTAAATTAAGCATGACAACATGAAATAAATCCAATAAATTGAGAAAATAAATCAGAAGAAAAATATGTATTCATTTAATTCAGCTATTTAATTCACATACAGATAAACCCTAACAGTAACATACATCCTACAACAATATTCACCCCTTCCCACAAAACTATGTAAACATAAACACTGGGTATAATTCAATGAACACTAATGAAAGTATCAGAAGGTTCTGGAACAGGATTAACACTGGTAATGAAAGCATTTTTAGAGGCGACGAGTTTCTTCCTTCCATAGCAGTGGGGCCCACGATTTAGACTCGGAAACTCAGGAATCAACTCGATCTGTGGACTCGGGGAATCCTGCTGGTGGGATGGCAATGTCGATATCGGAGACCGAGTTTTCGGGGTGATGATCTTGTGATTGAGTAGATAGGACTGGATTCTGGAGTCCCGGAGACGGGCTAAAGCACCGGGTTTTACGTACTTGTTGAATCGATGAGTTCGGAGCGAGTTGATTCGGATTCTTCTCTTCATTGTTTAAGGGATGAATGAAGAACAAGAAGAAGAGGAGAATTGGATAGAGAGAGAAAGAGAGTGTTTGGTGGGTTTGAGGGGAATGTAGGAATGAGAGGGGGGGTTTATACGGGATAGGTTTTGGGAATTGGAGGGAAATTGAAAAAAAAAGGGAGGTTTTTTTTGGGGTTTGAGTTTTGAAAGAGGCGGGGTTGTCTTCGAGTGTAATTTTATACTTTGCCATTAGGGGTGTAAATGACCCGAGCCAAGCACTACCCACCTTGTTCATGTTCATGTAAAACGATCATTTAACTTAGGGGGGTCCGAGCACACTCTCGAGCTTATATGCGAGCTCAAAAATATGGTCAAGTTTGGCTCATTTAGTGTTGAAAATAATACAAGAAAAAATGGAAAAATAAAAAAGAAATATAGAGTGAAAAAATAATCTAGAAATTTAGTTGGGTGAGTCGCGGATAACTTTCACCTCTCCTCAAGTCGATTCACGCCCTCCAATACAAATCGCCGGGAGTTTACAGCACGTCGTCCTCGGGATAAAACCCCAATTCTCATAATCTGCGTATTAAAGAGTAGAAGTTTATATATAATGATCAAAATATCCGACTTCTTGTATAATATCCAACTATGTGGGGAATGTTTTTTTGTAAAATTATGTGAGTATCAAATTGATGCTCAAAACAAATTAATAAAACCAAGAAATATGTTTAGGCTAAGGTTGTATGGTGTGTGATGTGTTTAGGCTAAGTCTGAGAAAGAGAGAGAGAAAAGCTTATAGCTTGAGAGGGAGATTAGATGATGATTGTTGGCGAATGAAAGCGAAGGAAAACGACCCTATATATAGGGAAAAGATTAGAAAAAGAGTCAGAATCCTACTCGGAGTAAAACACTTTTTATCGCGTGGCGATGGTTTCATTGCGTCGCGATGCTTGTATCGTTGCATGATATTAGCATCGATGTGCGATATTTCCATCGCTGCGCGATGCTTTTCAGAAGATAAGATTCGTACGGAATCTGACTTCCAATCAAATTGGGTTAGTCGAATATCCGTACTAATCCTTATTTTATCAGAATTAAATTTATTAAAAATAAGTGTTTTATCTGATATAAAATTTTTCAATTTAATCTTTTCAAAAACAAGATAATTAGAACCTTCTAGAGGATTCTAGAAGCTAATAATAAATTCTAAGGGATTTAGGACTCAAAACAAGCTTCTAGATAATTCTAGAAACTTATGATAAATCCTAATGGTTTTAGAAATAGAGTTAAAATAATTGGACCCTCCACGTGATCATTGGGTCCGCAGATAAGGCTCGGTTTAGACCTAGTTTAGTATTTTGGCCATAACTTATTCGTTATAACTCGGATTTGGGCTTATAATTTATCGTTAGAAAGCTTTTTTCAAATCCCATCCAACTACACAACTATTGGACCCAGATTATGGACCAAAATAAACTAGTTTGGACGTTCTTATTAAAAGGACACGAAATGAATGATTTTGGCTAAAACATTTAAATAAAGGTTAGAAATGGTCAAGACTAAAGAAAACTTCACGAGATTCTTCAACTCTTCGCCTAACTCGATAATTAAAGACGTGAGAGGTACTCATCACCGGGTTTGGTTTTGGGGAGACACAATCAGGTGTCTACAGAGTCCATTTATTATTAGTGTGCTATTTACAATTATTTCATTTTCTTAGGATAAATTGATAGGTTCTAGTTGTAATAAAGAAGTTTCTAATATTCAAAATTCAAAATGGTTAAATATAGCAGCTCTACCAAAAAAAAAAAAAAAAAAAAGATGACATCATTGTTGCATTTAGGCGGGAAAAAATTTATTATGAGAGTGACATGTAGACAATGATGATTTCAACTAACATTTTGTGTTAGTAATAGTTAATTGATGGATAAGAAGATGCTATACATTGCGGCCTTTGAGTGATTATTTTGTTGGTGCAGGGATCAAATGGAGAAGAAATTGGATAAATTATGGTTCCCTTCGGCAGAGTGGAAAAAGTAAATCTAAACAAATTCAAACAATATGCACAATTGAGGGTAACAATATATAAGGAGTATCCCTCAATTGCGCGGCAAATCAATTCGTGGCTCTTGCCATGGCTGGCTAATCTTACGCGATGTGTTTCACAAGAAAATATATTATGTATGGAATCCCCTTACTTGTCTCGTATCTCTTCCTCCATTGCCAGCTGACATGATGGATGCACTTGCAATTGATGCCGAGGAAGCTTAGCTTGCACCTTGATTACATCCGATAATGTTCATAATAATAGCATTATTAGTGTGCTTGTATTGGTTTTTGACAACATTATCTGATGATTTACTTTTCTACTCACTCTTGACAGGCAAGTTTCATGGATAATTTTTACACTACCAAGGATTTGATGCAGTGTTGTTGGCTGTAATATATATATTCTTGTAATCTTATTCGACTGTAAGAGATGTAGCTGTTGTTGATCCATTACTTCATTTTAGCTTTATACTTTGAAGTGAAATGACAAATGCATTGATGTGATTTTAATTTCTTCTAGCTACTGGTGTTTTTGGATTATTATCACTTTCATATGTTTGATTTTCTATGTTCACTGATTTGATTGTGGATAGTTTTCCATTGGTGGTAGCAGAAATAACCTATTGTACTGACGTATGGATTCAACTCACTTCAAAGAAATCCTCTCCAAGGACGCTCACTCATATCTTCTGTAATTGGCTGTTTTAGGATACTAGAGAATGGGTAGATGTTGTGACCAATGTTTCTTTTTGAACAAGACCGCTTCCTAAGGGAAGGATCTACTTGAGCAACATTGAATAACTACCATTAGGATAATAAAAGTGAGTTTTATTATTCATATTGATCCGTGTATTAAACTTTTATTTTAAACTATATTAATCTTTTGTGACTTTCATTGTAATCTATAATGCATGTGTACTTCTAATGACCGTATTCCCTTGGGTCCGGGTATTTTGATATAGAAGTTTATTATTTTTTAAAATATTTTTTTTAACAAACTCCGCTTTAAATTTATTCATTTTGATGATTTTTTGAATGATTTTTTCGTGTTATTAGAATTTTTAAAGTAAAATTTATTAAATACTATTGAAAATTTCACAAAATACAGTAATTTTTTATAAGAGTAATTATACTTTATACCGTACTTAATTAGCCATACAACTACTCGTATCTTTCTATTTTTTAAACAACCGTATTGCGTACCCGTTCTAATGCAACAGAGATTATAACACAATAACTTGTAGTTGTCATTTTAATTATATTACGACCTTTATTTCAAAGACATAGTGACTCTAATATTAGTAGCGCGTTTTGTATGGGGTTTGTCGCACTATGTGGCTGCTTATAAGAAAAATAAAATAGCCTATGCAACATTAACGAAGTAACCCATGACCTGTAAAGAATTACAATAGTGTTTATGTTGTCAACCAAACATGGCCTTACCATGTTCTCTCTCCCTTGTCCAAATAAGTTTAGTTTAGTTTTAAAAAATTAATTTCAATTCAATATTTTTTATTTTTTTGATTTTTTTTTATAAAAAAACATACTCCCTCTATTTTTTTAAATGCGTCAGTTTGACCGGCACATTTGGCGAGACGTAATTTTGACCATTAATATCTTTAATTGTGTATTTGTAAAAATTGTAACAAAATTATATTATAAAACTAGACATTATGACAATGATATATGATATAATAACATTTATTTATTTTATAGAGATAAAAAAATTAAGTCAACCACATGTAAATAGTGCAAAAATCAAAGTAATGCATTTAAATAAAGTGAGTATAAGTTTTACATTATAGAGTTCAATTCATACTTCATGGTATGGACTACGGAGTATCCAATTTTCCAACCTGATTATTCCACCAAAAATCACCATAATTTTGTCGGAGAATTCCAAGGTACTGTTGCAAGCAACCACGAACAAGATCAACTATATCTTCTCTGCCGGTGAGCATTAAGTCTCTAATTTGAGTTTATCATGAAGTGTAACATTGATTGAATTGACTAATCAAATTTTACATACACCATGTTTTGTTCTTCGAATTCTGTATTTCGGGTACCAATAAACCCTTCAATTAACCCCAAATCTCCAATCTTTTCTGAAACAAAATTCAACCCATTTCATGAATTCCCCAGTTCACCAAAACTCAGTTCCCGATTTCAAATCAGGTGTACCATTAGAAAGCTTAGAGATAGAATCGATACTGTGAAGAATACCCAGAAAATTGCAGAAGCCATGAAACTTGTGGCTGCTGCTAAAGTTAGGAGAGCTCAGGAAGCTGTTATTAATGGCAGACCTTTTGCTGAGGGTTTAGCTGATATGTTATACAATATTAATCTAAGTGTTCAATTAGAAGATGTAGATGTTCCTTTAGCTAGTGTTAGGACTGTTAAGAGAGTTGCCCTTGTAGTAATTACCGGCGAAAGAGGGCTTTGTGGTGGGTTTAATAGTGCAGTTATTAGGAAGGCTGAGAGTAGGATTCAGGAATTGCAGAAACTTGGTTTAGGTTGTACAATTATAAGTGTTGGGAAGAAGGGGAATGCTTATTTTTCGAGGCGGGTGTCTGATGTATCAGTGGATCGATTCGTAGAGGGGGAGGGATTTCCGACTGCTAGAGAGGCGCAGACGATTGCTGATGATGTTTTCTCTCTTTTTGTGAGTGAAGAGGTTGATAAGGTTGAGCTGTTGTACACTAAGTTTGTGTCATTGGTTAGGTCTGATCCTGTGATTCGGACCTTGCTTCCTCTTTCGCCAAAGGGGAAGGCTGTTGATGCTTATGGGAATAGTGTTGATGCATTGGAGGATGAATTCTTTAGGTTGACGAGTAAGGAAGGGAAGTTAGCAGTTGAAAGATTGAGAGTTGAGAAAAGGAAGCAGGAAGTGCAACCACTTTTGGAGTTCGAGCAGGACCCGGTTCAGATTATTGATGCAATGATGCCTTTATATTTAAACAGCCAGATACTGAGAGCCTTGCAGGAGTCACTGGCGAGTGAGCTAGCAGCGAGGATGAATGCCATGAACAATGCAAATGAGAATGCTATGGAGTTAAAGAAGACACTTTCTATTGCGTACAATAGAGAAAGGCAGACGAAGATTACTGAAGAGCTGTTGGAGATTGTTGCTGGAGCTGAAGCTCTTGTACCGTTTGATTAGATTGGCATCGGTTTAAAACATGGCTAGTTTGTTGCTCCAAGTTTCTTCCTTATGTTGATTGTTTAGTGCAACTCAGTTTTTAGACACAATGGACCTACTTTTCTTGAAGAGTCGACTCCAACTTTAATAATGAAGAGTGTCGCGACGAGTTTTTGAAACTTTTAAGTTGAAAGTACGAGTGTTACTTATTTGTCTTCCATCCTCTGAACTGTATGTGCTCATAAACTGTCAACTGATCAGATTGGACCGAGAATTCCATCTATTGGCACTTGTGAGAATATTGAATAAAGAGGAGAATTTGGAAGATGTAAAAAAAGCTGTTCAATTCATTTGTTCAAGGAACAACGTTTGTACATGTATGAACTAGAAATCAGTAGCTAATAGCACATAACCATCTATTTTCTCCCAAACTTGCCAAAAATAGAATTATGATGCACAGATTGCGCACCAGAATTTTGTTGGAGAATTTGACCCTTGCTCATTAATGCATGTCTGCATGTTTGGATAGGCCTAACTTGAGCCTATTTGATTTTACAAATACATTTAACAGTCACACCTCATGAGAAATTGAAAGATCAGAACGACAGCTTAAAGTATGTTCATCACTTTAGTACTTTTTGTGCTAACTTGACATCTTGAACAGTTGGATCATAGAGCTTAACGGGAAATAGTTTATTTATGAGTGAGGCAAAACAATAAAATCTTACTCGTATTCAACATCGTACTTGTGATCCATTTAGATCACGTACGTGTTTACAAGATCTTAATTTGACAGAGTTCATGAATCAGGAGTACTTTTCTTCATCCTTGTTAATTGATCAGTCTTTCCTAATTTCTTGTACTCTGATAGCTCAATAATAATTGTATAAATATAAGTAAATTATGTTCTACAAAGCATAATAGCTCAATAATAACTGTATAAATACAAGTAAATTATGTTCTACAAAGCATAAAATATTTTTCTTTTCCAGAAAAGAGTTTAGCAAACTCAGAGTAGCTTATGATATTATTAGCTCGTTATCAGTACTGTTCTATATTTCAAATTAAGTTCAACAAACAGTACTTACAAAACAATTTTTCACATCCTCAAAGAGTAGCAATTTCATAAACTCTTTGTCCCTCTAATATTTACCCTAATTTCTTTTCTAATCTGTTCCATTTATTGCCCCATAGTTCCATACACAAATGGCCATGCGAGACCATAACTCTCATATAGTGATCCCAATAATGTTCTCTTGTTAGCTTACCTTTAAAAAGTAATCATATTTCAACGGAGCAATCTTAGAGGGACAAAGAAAGTAATCCAATTAACATCTAATTGTATTGTATATTTACCCAGATTTGTGTTTTTTTCTTTTTTTCTTCCCTTTCAGGCATATGTTGAAAGTGACTCAAAATTCATTCATTGAACTTTGGCCCTATTGTGTGGGGGCTTGATATTACGAGATGCACCCCATTAAACATTTAATGACCATTCTTCTCTTTTTAGAAAGTGGCTTGTACCAATTCTAACTTTCACAATCAAGTGTAGCCTTCTTGATAGGGGGAAAATATGCATATTTTTGCGTACTTACCCCATATTCAGGAAATTACTCGTCCAATCTCATTTTATTTGCCCCGATTGGAACAAACAATAGAGACATGGATTATCACGGAGTACTTTTTAAAGTATCCAAACATACGCGTAAAACTGTACATTTGTACAATATACAAACTTAAGAGCTACGTATTATGTTCTCATTGTCATATATACGTAGTACATTGCCTCCCCTGGCTGTAACTTCCTCAAGTATACCCACTAAAGGTAATCCAATTGACCAACATAGTAAGATACCAAGTGTTCTTTTCTCCCCCACATTTTTACAATTAATATCAGAAAGATTATAACAGTAAACTGAGTGGCTAAAAGAAAGAAAAGAGGCCATCAAACATTATTGCAATGCTAGCTTCTACCACGTGATTTGTTTGCCCGTGAAGCATGAGATATAGCTTTGGCTTCTGAGGTCATCATCCACTCTCTCTCTGCACGACGCTGATGTTGCCTTGCATTCTTGGCTCGTTTAGGAGCCAACCTTGTATCTCTCTCAACAAATGCTAGCCTAAACTTCTCAGCCATGGACAACTCGCTGGGATTAGAAATGATGGGTATGGGATTAGAAATGATGGGTAGAATTCTTCTTGTTGGTCTACATGATACCCATATAGTGGGGTCTATATCCTCAACAGCATGTTCATCCAAAACTGTGTTTGGCAGAGCTTCCCTGGGGACAGCAACTTCCTTGAAGTCAAAAGGTGAAGGCTTTGGGTTGACCATAACACGAGGGCATTCGGAGGAGAAATTCTTCAAAGAATCAGGATCAATGTTTGGCTGAAAAAAGCACAAGAAATATTAGAGGTGAAAAATAGGTCTTAAAGAAGTAGACAAGGATGCAGACCTCATATCTGCTAAATACATAATCAAGCATTTTCCAATTCCCGGTATTTTACAAAAGATTAACAGCACTAATGGTGTACGCATCAGTATTTAAGACTAATTGAGATCTAGGCATGTGAGCAGTAAGGTGTAGCTGGAATTTCTAATCTTTTTGCAATTTCCATAGTCCCTGAATAACAGGTCACATGTCTACTTTAAGACGTGCCAAAATAATAGGTCACTTTCTATACATAGCAAGTCAAATATTAAGCTTTCTCATATTGACCTAATTAACACCCTCAGCACAAAATTGAAAGAAAGGCAGCAATGGTATGTTGGCAAAGCAGGACTTTTAATAGTGATAGAACATTTGATGTACAGCATTTACCCACCATAAATCAATTATGTACTGGTTAAACAAAAGCAGGCAACTTGATGTACAAGAAAGCTTTGCTCAAGGAGGAAGAATACTTGTTGATATGACATCAAGGATTAATGCAAATTCCATACAAACTTGTTTTCTATCTGTGGTAATATGGTGTGGTCCTTAAATTTTGCATGCTTACACATGAGGAAGTATGAGTTAATAACAGTTATTATCAGTCACTAACACAAGAACGGTAAAACAACCACCTCATTATAGGTACACTAGGAAGTTTGCGAGGACAACTGTAAGTGATTGATCAATAATTGTTATTAAAAGTGGACTTGCTTTATTTAACACCTTGTCACATTTAAATCCCCGCGTGCTTATGAGAAGAGCACATGGGGAGGAGAGAGGATGTGAATAGCACACAGAGAGGTATATATGAGTGATTGATCAATAACTGTTGCCATGACCCATAAGAAGAAATATGAGGTATGTTGCAATGATGAAATTAAAAAGCAAGATAATAATCATACCCACACAAGCCATCTCAGGGATTGTCCACCATGAGTAAACTCTGCGGTATCAAGTTCCTCCCACGAATCTCCTTCCAAATTGTTCAGATCTGGTTTAAATAAGTGTAAACTTCTTCTTGCTGTGTAATCACTCCGAGGACACCCTCTGCAAGATAAAGTTTGGTTCATAGCCTCTTCCAAGTTGCAATTAATAACCCACATCCTGGACAACCCCGTCATTTGGGATGTCAATTAATATAATAGACAACAATAAAGCCTAACCAATCTATAAACTAAAAAATAAGTATGATTTTGCCACAATCTATTTGCCAAAACCCCCTACACCCCCCCCCCCCACCCCCCCACCAGATTTCAGAACAAGAGTGGACGATATGACAAATAAATGAGATGTTTTATAATTTAAAAGTGAAGCCTGAAATTAAAATAAAATGCAGCTTCAAATATAACTATCATTTACACAAGGTTCAGTACTTCCATTATCAGTACAGCTACAAATTTAAAGCCCAGATATTAGTCAAAGAAACAAGTGCATACCCACATCTTAATATCTCCAAAGATTGACAATGCTCCACCAGTTGAGAGACACCATTAGGAGTGATTCTGCTGCATTGGCTGTAGGAAGGGAATTAACTTAGCTATTTCATACAACAGGTACAACAATAATAGAAAGGAGCAGTCAAGTTCTATCAACGTAACCTATAATGAACATGTTATAGAATGCATCAATAGACAGGATCACCTTTGACTAAAGTATTCATAACTTTGATTAAACTACAAAACTTTGTAAAACGGGGGGGGGGGGTATACAGCAAGTTGTTGAAATTCTTAGAGCATTAAAACAAGCAACAAATTACAAATGGTTTTTTAACTTTTTTGTCAGTTCAAACAGTTATTTGACAAAACAATCTCAAACAAAAGCCCCAAAAAAATTACGTAGAATTCCTAAATTTATGATGGCCTGTGATTTGTTATTCATTTTACTCAAATTATCAGCCATCCCAATCAAAACTCAAACCTTATATTCACTGCTCGCAAATTTGGACACATCTCTGCCACCTTTGCAAGACCAAAATCTGAGACATCTGAACAAGAAACGTCAAGGATTTCCCAGGTGCCATCAGCAAGAGAGATGATTACTTCATCATTTAGAAGCTTTTTTCTCCTAGCAACTGCAGCAATTGACAGCTGTAGTTTATAACAATGATAAAATAAAAAAATTGTAAGTACACAAGCCTGAGAAAGAATTCAAATAAGCACAATTTTGTAGACATCAATGATTTGATAACAGTAACAACAGAAAATGTCAGCTAAGTATGTCTCTTCACCCTCCATCACACACACACACACACATACACAGAGAAGAGTTTGGTTTAGACGAACTATCAACATCTTGGTTACCCTTCTCAGAAAAGTTTCTACTTTTAGGCTTCTTAGAGTTACTTTGGTTACCAGAATTCCCAAAGTCCTTCCTCTTTTCTTCAACATAGCTACTTTCAGATGCGTCTTTAACATTCAAACTATATAAATGCGCAACTATTTCATACACCTTGTCTAATGTCTTTAAAACCTTCTCCGCCAAATCTTTCTGCAGTTGCTTAACTCTGAGCTTTCAATTCTACAGTATGACTTTTGGGGAAAATCTGGATAGGGTAATATAATTGTTGTAGTAATCTAAAATCGACATACGACCATCTCCTGATGAACTCTTAAGCCTTATGCTTCTTCTGGAAAGGAGAGTAATATTTATTTCTCGACGCGGTATTAGAGGTCTCCCACCCAAAGTTTGGTTGGGCTCTAATACTCTCAACATTATCTTTCCACCACATATCGGCCTCATCTTTCAAATACATAGCAGTCTGATCAACCTTCATGCCCTTTTCAGGCTGCAAACAACTTATCAAACTCGCGTACCCAGTTCTCCAAAAAGGTGGGGTCAGCACTCACTTTTGGTCTCACTTGGCCAGTTTCTTAAATATTTCATCACGTGGATCAGGTAATTCCACACGTTCTGGTTCAAATTCTGGGCTAGCATCCTTATAGCATCGCTAAATACCCTCTTAAACCAATTTATGTGCTATAAATGCAATTTTGTGACTAAGTGCCTATGCCTGATTAGCATTTTCCCATTTCAACTTAAGCCGGAGTGAATGCTTACTGCATTCAGGTGTAGGGACAATATGGCACGTAACGATGCTCCTTTAGCCGATGCTATAAGAATGCTAGCTCAAACTTTGAACCAGAATCGTGTGGAACAACCTGATCCACCACTGAAATGTTTAAGAAACTGGCCAACTGCCCAAGTAAGACCACCTGTGTTTATAAAGGGGGTGCTGACCTCACCTTCTTGGAGAATTGGGTACGCGAGTTTAATAAGTTGTTTGTAGCGCTGAAGAGGGGATGAAGGTTAATCAAGCTGCTATGTATTTGAAAGATAAGGCTGAGAGGACTAGAACCCAACCAAACTTTGGGTGGGAAACCTTTAAGACTGTGTAGATAGATAAACTTTACCCTCCTTTCCTGAAAAAGCAGAAGGCTCTGGAGTTCATCAACTTGTTCCTTGATTTTAGATTACTACAATAGATTCATGACCCTGCCCGGAAGTTGTCCCTATTGAAGAATTGAAAGTTCAGATATTTGAGCAATGGTTGACTAAGCAAGTGCAGAAAGATTTGGCGGGGAAGGTTTTTAAGACCTTAGGTAAGTTGCATAAAAGAGCTGCACATTTATATGGTCTACATGTTAAAGACGCATTTGAAAGTAGCAATCCTGGAGGTTTGGGAATTCTAGTGACCAAAGCAACTCTAAGAAGCCTAGAAGTAAAAACTTTTCTGAGAAGGGTAAACAGGATGTTGATAGTCTAAACCAAACAATAGGGAAAGACGATTCTTCTGTAAAAGGTGTAACAGGAATCATCTTGGAAGAGAATGTGAGGGAAATCTGGCGACATCAGATAGTACAATAAAAAGGGGCATAGGGAGTTCAAATGATAATCCAAGCGGAAATGCTCAGCATAGGCCTAAGCCTAATATTTTCTATAACCAGGGAGTTGTAACTCTTAGCTTGGAACAAAAGTGAGCCTCTTGAATGCTCATCGATGTGTAACTCTCTGTTTATAGTATATCTATCCTTCTATTTATTTTTCTAAAATTACTTAAGTTTTTTTGAATGATCTGAAACTATCAAAATTGTGTAGTTCACAAAGCTAAAGACTTACAAGAGAGTGATCAAATGAGTATTTCACAAATGGTTAAACCAAATACTTCTTACAAAAAGAAAAATATAGTTTTAGATGTAAATTTACTTTAACAAATATTTTTGCCAAAAATCAACTGTCTTAACAGCAAAGGGATCCCCATCCCCTGTATCACTTATTCCCCATGCTCAAAGATTACTATCAATAGCTCTCAGCTATAAGGAAGCTGAATTCTTCTACTTAGGCTGATAAAACTGGCAATGGGTGGCCTGAAATTAGATCTTTTTTTCCTCAGATGAGACACATGATTCTCTTTTTCTCCTAGAGGCAACAAAAATATTATGTGAAAAGTTGTCAAACACAACCACCTGGTTATGTAACAAATTGAGTGAATTGATTAATTTCGAAAATTCTTTGGTATATAAAGCCACACTTATTAACCAGCCCTTAGAAAAGGGGCTGGAGCATATCCATAGAGTATAAACACAATGGACTCTTAGTTGGAGGTTCCAATCTCAGTTATGGGCAATGGTACAGCAAATTTTAACTTTATGGTCCACTGGGTCTTGAAGAAGATTTCTTTACGAGAAACCAGTATTTTCACAATCAGGCAAAATAGGGCTCTTAGAGAGTACCTTCACAAGCTTGAATGATTGAATCTCTATGCTCTAACGGCAAGGAAGAACGGAAACAAATGTATTGCTGCTTAAGGTATGAAAGATGCATCAGTAGAGTAAAAAAGTATAATTACTAACGAGATTTGGCGGGCTGAGGCTAAGAAATAAATGTGCCTTTGACGAGGCCCTGATTAGCTATATTAGGTATGAAGCTGCACAACTCCTCTTCTATTTACCCAACCACAGTGTTTAAGGTTTCCATATAAGAATTCTCTGCCGGTATCTTTATTAGAAGAAGCAAAGGAGAGATAACTCAACACTTAAACCAGTTGGTGAGACTACATTCATTGAAACTTGTTGAAGCAGTACAAAGATATCTGGATATGTAGCTACTTATTGTAAAGAAAGACGGTTATGGTGAATGAAAAATGATGCTGACAACTGCAATACTTTGGTCCATAATATTTATTTGCTACTTATTCATAGGGAGAAGGATAAGGCCCCGGATACTAATGGAAGAGAGTAAAAATATACTTTAGACCACAGCAGAAGCATCCATAACAAGGAGATGAGGGATCTTATTGAGAAGTTATGGACGCATGCAAAGCAATAGTTCAGCTCCCTTTAAATTCAGCCTTCTACACCATCATGAACTTGGAAGGGAGGGCAATTTCCAGGTGCAGCTCAATATCTAGATTGACGCTTACAATAAAATGAAAAGAAAATGCGATATTGTGAGCAGGGATTGGGAGCCCAGAGGGTAGTATAGCACAAGCGGGGAAACTGATTACACTTTCAGTTTGGATGTAAGTCTAACAATGTTATGTAGCTAAAAATTTTATCCAAGCAGAGGCAATGGCTCAACTTGAGGCAATACAATGGACTACAATCACAGGAATCTTTGCTGTAGAGTTCTACAAAGATTTTGACCTACTGGTCCAGGGAATGAAGCCTGATGCTAAGTGCACAAGAAACCTACTTATCATTAGAAGAGATACGGAGGATACTACAAGAAGCTGGTAATTTTTCTTCATGTATAAATTCCAACCTTCCTACAGCTTCTGTTCACAAGGACCACAATATGGTATCTAAGCCAATTTCATTTTGCAGTTAATCTTTACTAACAGCATATGCAGAAATCTTAAAACAAAAGGTACAAGTAAACTAATGAGACTATGGTCCATGGGAGTGCATATTGGATTAATACATATATTGAGCATGCAAATGCCTAATTATAAATTCATGACCTACAACTTTGGTTTAATAAAAAACTGAGCCTGTAACTCATTGGATTTGAGATCAAACATGACTTATCCAATCCAAACAACAAACGGTACAAAATAAATCAAACCCTCAAGGCTCAAATGGACATAACCAGCTAATTCTAAATTTCTAATTTCCCTTTATGAGTCTACACATGAGGTACAAGTGTACAGCACATAGTACTCAATATCATCTTCTAAACCAAAAATGTATGAAGAATAATTAAAACACAACCTTAATATGCGCCGGAAAACCGATAGCAATCTCGCCCAACTCGGGAATGAGATCCTCCAAATGCTTCCCAATGACAGCAATGCATAAGCTGACCAAACTCGGAGGCTTGGTTCTTTTAAGTGGAGGGACTGCAATAAAATCACACTAAACTTATAAGCTCATATCATACTTAATTGCCATATACTTTAGCAACTTAGTGAGGGGAAAATGTACACAATCATATCCCTATAAATTTAAATAGACTTGAAGAACATTAGGGTTTTGCTTTCTCGTCAAGGATTGCAACTATCTAACTTAATTAACAATGAAAGACACTGAAAATTTGGTAACGTATTAACCCTTGCAAAGTATCAACTAGATTAGTTGGTAAATCCATGGGGTTGGGTGTAATCATGTCTACACGCATGCCCTTAATCGCACTTCAGTGCAAAAAGACCAATGAGAGAACAAACAATCAGCTAAAAATGTTGATGCACCAAGGACATTTAACATCAATTTGCTCTACTAAGCTCAAACCCACTCATCATGGCTTTCAACTACCTAACTGAACAACAGTGCAAGATACCCAAAATTCAGTCACCAATTAAGCCTTTTACTTCCAATGTCAATTAGGGTCATACGGCCTGAGATCGAATCTTGTCTACACTAGTACCCTTTAACGCAATTTATTCATCAAACAATTTATAAGCCTTATTACTCAATAAGAAGTCCAAAGTTACAACTTTGCACACCCAGTATTGTCTGTTGCGGCAACTAAACCATACCAATGTCAATTAGGGGCATACGCCCGAAATCTGGGATCAAATCTTGTCTACACTAGTACCCTTTTAAGCAATTTCTTCATCAACAATTTATAAGCCTTATTACACAACAAGAAGTCCAAAGTTACAATTTTGCACACCCGATATTGTCTATTGCAATCAAATATTAACAATTCAAGATAAGAGAGATTGAGAGAGAGTGAACCTGGGAACAGGAAAGGGGCGGCGGCGGTGGCGGAAGAATCAAGAGCAAGATTTTGGAGAGAAGCTGCAATGGCGGTTGCCGGTGCTTGGTGTTCCTCCATTGAAGTGAAGCTCGAGTTGTTGAAGATGAATCAGAGGAGAGAGAAAATTTGGTCGACTTTGGTTAAATTTTCCAATTTATATACGGGGTGTTCATCGCCGACGTTGGACGTTTGTGCTTTCGTTTTCCTCATTACTCAGTATTTTTTGATCTTTTTTACCATGCCAGCCACAAAAGTTGTGAAAGTTGGTGTGTTGCATTGTATTGGGCTTAATTTTGATGGGTGCCTAGCAAAAACTATTGAGGTCACATGCTCACATAGATGAGGCAGTCCTGGCCGACGTGGCCCGGTTCGGTGTGCCTAAATGTAAAGAGGGCTTGTTGGAATTTGAAAATTCCTATTTTCTTGGTTAATGTAGAATAGATTAATTTCTCGAGTTTAAGATAAGAAGAAGGAGACTCACCTAAGGTGGCGGAATATTAAATGTTTGCCTGTTTTCCACTTCAACCTCGTATCAAAATTCAAACATGATGTTTAGGCATATCTACACTTTATTCACAAACAATACTTAAGTTGTATCATATTGCTTGTAAAAAATGAATTTTTTTTTTTTTTTTTTTTTTTTTTTTTTGCAAGACCATGTTCAAGTTAGAAACAAATTATGAGTTTTATGGAATTTCTTATTCTCTAAATTTGTCATAGCATAAATAGAGAACCTTGATATATTCTATACATAACTAAAGAACTTTGATACATGCAAACTAATAAGATGAGCTAATGATAATGGATACACCCTGCTATAAGTGAACTTGGATACAACCCATATTTTGTACTCCATACTTTAAACCTTCATTTACGATATAAATTTAGGTATTACTCATATGTAGTAGGACTATAATTTACAACAAAGTGTCTATAAGAGTTAGCTCATAAAATATATAACTAGTATAAAAAATTTAAAAGGCTTGAGTCAAGATTAAGTAATTGTCACTATTCTAAAAAAAAGGGATACAAAACGGAGTACACAAATGGCCGTATTTACAATTTTAACCATATAATTCATTCTTCCAAACGGTCACTGGGATAGACTAAAATTAACATCTCTTATTCTTGATGAAATAGTGGCACAAGTAGTAGGGATCCCCAAGTAAGTCTCAGCCCTGCATCGTGCTATGCATACCATGGGGGCATTTTGGGAATTTCACAGTTAAGTGAGTGTATGCTAAAAGTTTATACGTATCTAAGTACACATATAAAAGCGTCTGATACCCATTTGAATTGGAGTTCTCCGTTTCATCTTCTCCCAACTTTTCATTTTTCTGCTTGTGTAGAGGTAATCATTCGTCCATTGCAGTGGTATCTTCTTCACCATTTTCGTCCACAACAAAAGGCGTATTATAGGGAGAAAGCCTTCGTAGTTCCAATGAAGGGAAGAGGTTAGTTTAAATTGGAAGTTGTAGTAATTTAGGGTTTTAACGAGGGAATTTGCGAAAATGAAGGGTTAAATATTGATTGAATTATTAGCGAATTATGGAATTAGGGTTTTAGTTGTTATTGAATCATTAATTTAATTGGTAATGAAATTTTGAATTATGAAATAATCTTGAAATTAGGGTTTTGCGAAATGGGTAATTGGGGAAATAATTTGTTCGTTATTGAATTGGAAATTGGTGTTATATAAGATTAAGCACTTAGAGTTGAATGATGTTCTTTATTTTGAATTGTGGATATTGTTTAGTAGAAATAGTTGAATGCATGTATGAGGATCGTTAATATTCTCAGTTTATGCATGTAGAGAGATCTCGAATTGTTTATGTGTCTGAGTTTTTGAAGTTGGTAAATGATATTGATGCATGTACAACTGTATCTTAGTATTTCATTTTGTGATGTTGAGTTTATGCATGTAGAGAGAACCCGAATTATTTATGTATTTGAGTTTTTGAAGTTACTCAATGATATTCATGCATGTAGAGCTGTATCTGAGTATTTGATTTTGTGATGTTGAGTTTGTGAAGTTGTATTGTGTTAATGCAAATAGCTTGTTTGACTTTTTGAAGTGTGAAGTTGCATTTATGAGGCATTATTTGAAGTAAGGTGTGTTGAAGAATTTAATAATAGTGTGTATTGAAGTGAGGCATTCTTTGATATTCAGGTAATGGGAAGGCCATAAAGGGTAGTGGTAAATGTTATTTGTGGTAAAGGGAAAGGTAGGAGTGGTGGTAAAGGGAAAGAAGGTATGAGAGTAGAGGGTCGCAAAAGGAAAAAAGTGGTTGAGAGAATATATGGGTATGAGGAATCATCATTTGAATCAACCTCTGAATCATCATCTGGATCGATGTCAGATCTGATTTTGAGTATGAACCTGAATCAGAAGGGGAAGCAGTAATGCAATATAGTGTTGTTGTAGTGATGATGTTAGTCATTGCTACAGCAGTGGTGATGAGGTATGGCTTGAATTTGTAATATGATTGTGATGAGGTAAGACATGACTAAATGTATGTGGAATGATTATATAATGTTGGGGTGTGTGTGTAATGATTTGCAGGTGAAGAAGGCTGAACGCAAAGCGAGGAGGAAACAAAAAATTGATCCGAAGGTGTTTGTGGTGAGTTGGTTGTTTATATGAATGGATGAAATTACCTGTAGTTGTGGTGGTATTTATTTTATACTCTGGTGCAGGATAATTTCCAAAACTCTAGGAGGCAAGGTGAAGGAGTCCGGGACTGTCATTGCTTCTTTCAAGAGCAAGAAAAAGGTATTAAAATCAAAACCATAGCTTTTTGAAAAAACATATTGTATAGAAATTGGAAAGTTGTAGGATATTGATGTTTTGTAGTTAATGTAGTTCTGTCTCCGTTTTTCAGGCAATGAATGTCAACTGCCCCGTGGAGACATTGGGTAGGATTTTAGGTAACTTTGATGACAACAAGAAGCGTGTTGTCAGGGAAATGGGTTTTGGGGGCTTGTTTTATCTTAAGTGGCTGCCACGACAGTTGGCCTTCTGGCTGTGTACTAGGGTTGATGTAAGTAAAAGATGCTTGTTGACTCTTGATGGACAATTGTTTCCATTAGACCCAATTCAGGTCCATTGCGTGTTGGGCCTTCCCTATGGTCCAAGAGTTGTACCGAAGAAGGTAGTGGACCAGGAGTTGGAGGATACACTATGGAATACATATAGCACAACAACAAGATGCGAGACAAGAGGCATAACTAGGAAGACACTTGTTGAATATTTGGAGGGTCCTTGTGTAGATGAAGATGAGTTTAAGAAGGTGTTTCTAATGTATGTGTTGAATGTACTGTGTTCATCAACATGTCATCGTATAAAGAAGCAATTTCTTCATGGTGTATCAGTGGCAGACAATGCCCCTCTGTATAATTGGTGTGAGTTTGTACTAGATGAGCTTATGAAAGCACTAGTACAGTTTAGTAAAAGGATTTATGGCGATGATCTTAATTTTAATGCAAGTAGTGGTGGATGTACTTTGTTCTTGTCGGTAAGTTTGATTTTAATTGCAATGATTAGTATGACCAGATATCAATGTTTTGGACTATTTTGGACTAACAACCTATGTATATTGGCAGGTGTTTTATTTGGACCGCCTTAATCGCTCACCCCTTAAATGGGGTGAGTTTCCTAGGATCAAAGTGTGGTCGAGGCAGGAGATGAACAATGCAATATCCGTTGATTAGTTTGAAACTGGTGATTATGAAGCCCGTGGTGTAAGTGTTTACATAGGTTAGGTACATTTGTAATTACAAATATGGTTGACTAATATAAACAATCCATTTATTTCAAATGTGTTGTAGTGTGTGAATGTGAAGTATAGGTGGGATCACCCCTTAAAAGCAGGAGACATCTTGCCTTCTAGGAGGAAAAGATCAAAGGATTGTGCTGATGTAAGTGTTGTGTATATTTTCTCATAAGTATCTGACAAGGTGTTTATGACTGAGGTGGTGTGTGATGATTTTTTATTTATATATCTTAGGTGCTAAATGCTTTGAAGACTGTACTGAACAAGGAAGGTGTACTAGAAGAAGAACCAGAGGAAGTGGAATTGGAGACTAATCCACAAAATGTGATGAGGAGAAGAAAGGCAACAACCGATCGTCCGATCGATCGTGATACAAATTTAGGAGAAGGTGATTACTTAATTCAAATAAAAATTACAAATGTTACAAATTTCAAACAGAAAGTGTGATAATTGTGATGATATATGCAGGCAATGCAAATGATGCAGACAAGTCGGTTGTTAATGTGGATGTGCACGAGGCGGTAATGGCTAATGATGCAGACAAGTCGGCTGATGTGCACGAGGTGGTAATGGGTGATGATGAGCTTGTTGATGTGTAAGTTAATCAGGATAATGTTAATTAGGATAATGTTGTGAAGGAGAATGTGGTGAAGGAGTCGAATTGTAACTTAGTTGAAAAAAATTTTATCAAATGGAGAGTGAAGAGGTTAACTCAAATTCCGATGTAGATGTGAATGACTTAGTGTAGGCCACGAAGATACATAGCAGAATTCCCATCAGCCAACCTTTCAGCATCAATGCAGTGTTCCATAGCTCTAACATATTTCTCAACAAAATCACACAGACTAGTATGCTTATCAAACAAATCATCAAAAAAATTATGAATGCTTTCCGACCTTTGAGTTGTCTTCATTCCAGCCCAAAACATGTGCTTCATTGCTGCCAGAATCCACATTTCCCGCTCCGAATACAAAACAGCTAACCAAAAATTACTCTCTAGCTTATGCGTAGCTATAAACTCTTTCCACCTCTATTCGAACTCTTGCATACTTAAACGATCATAAATAATATTTTTCAGCTCCTCTTTAAATTCAGCATACCCTTTACACTTCCCTAACTTGCTGACAAATTTTTCAGTGATATGCTAGAGACACCATCTATGCCTTGTTTGTGGCATGACATCCTTTAATGCTTTGCGCATGGCTGCATCTTGATCAGTCAAAATAGCCATCGGAGGGATCCCTCTACAACATCAATCCAAGTAGAAAACACCCACCTAATGAAAATAACATAAAAAACAGAAAACAATCTTAGCAATTTCATTCAAATGTAATACAATTAACGGAGCAAAAATGCAACAAAGTAATAGCTCACCCACTTGAAGGTTTCAGCATTTTCCCAAGAAATAAGGGCACAACCAAGCAAAATTGTCTGCCCGTGATGGTTAACACCAACAAAATTTGCAAAGGGCAAATCATATTTATTCAACAGGAATGTCGTATCAAAACAGATAACATCTCCAAAGTCTTCGTACGCAGCTCGACTACGAGCATCGACCCACTACACATCATGTAGTACACCGTTCTTATCCAACTGCTGCATGTGATAGAAATTCTTGTTGTTCTTCTGCATCATCTGAAAATCATTCATCATTGCATTCGCATCTCCATCTTTGAATTTCAGCTTCTTCTCCCTCGCCCTTAAGTTATGCAAGTCCTTCTTAGTGAAACGCATATTCTCTAGGCCATTCCTCTCTCTAGCTATCAGGTTATGCATAGTTGAAGTGCTGATCCCAACATCATTAGCAAATTTAAACTTTTTCCTAACATAGGGCATCCTCTCTAACTCTACCAACCTATACTTTAGAACTAGCAATGCTTTGGAAGGGGTTGGATTATGGTTCCTATGCTTCAACTCCACCTTCTTCAACTCCCATTTCCCATTATCCAACAACCCAACATATACCTTTGCAAGACACCCACATTTTTTAGACTTCTTCATTGCTACGGGTTCCCCTTCTAACTCCCTTGCCACTCTTTTCCCACCAACTTTATTCCTTGTATTTGGTTTACCATAACAGCCGCATTTCCATGTTGTAGCACGTTTAACCTTAACTCCTCCCACAACCTTATAAGCACTTTGAGCAAGCACCACCCCAAACCCTTGCTGCTTGCCATACGCATTGTAATACATATCCGCTTCTTGCCACGTATCAAAAATCATACCCACTTCAGGAGGGTCCACGCTAACACAGTCCATGTTCACCATAGACTTGCACTCCTTCTCATCTAGAGTGCGATATCCTCCACTTTCCCCACTCCCCTCTACATAATCCACAACCATATTACCTTCATTGTCACCCATTTTATCATCACCAATCAACATGACTTCATCTTCCTCAAAAATTTCATCTTCTCCTTTTCCCCCCAACAAACAACCAATTCCTTCTGACATTTACACCTATATTCAAGGCAAATTTACACAAACACAGACATATTCTAACACAAACACATACATATATACTAAACTCCCTAAATCAATCATTTATTGTAAATCAATGCAATCAAATCACTAACTACGTACACAAATACAATACAATAACAAACATTTTACACAGAAATCATTACACATTACTCCAATAACAAGATGATATACCAAACTAGTTTACTTTATCAACTTTTTAAAGCAATATTCAATAATGGATAATCCAATTTTGTCATGTAAGCTTCAAAACTTTACCAAAACACCAACAATTTATCTAGAAATCAATAACTTATTTACAATAATTAAACAACTTTCCATAATTTAACTACAAACCAATGATTTACCTAATGTCATACAAATCTAATATTCAATAACTTAGCTATTGATTGATAATTTCACTTAAAAATCTAATGACCCAAGCAGGTTTAGCTCAAGCAATCACTCACCGCCACTTCCGCTTCAAACGCCCAAAATTAATATTTGCAATTCACAAACCCTAATCGAACAAAACACCAACACCATTATTATTCCCCCAAAACAAATACCAACTAATTTAATTAAATCACCATTTGAGAAAACATACCTGCTTCGGACTGCGAGGAGAAGTGCGATAAGAATTGTTCTTGACACTTGAACTACTAACCGAAGAGAAGTGCGAGGAGAAGACAGTACAAGTGTTGAACTCAACGAAATTCAAAATCTAGAGAGCATTCAATTCAATTAGAGTCTTCAACGGGACACTGTTTAACAACGGTATCAACGAGAACTCAAAATACCGCGTATTTTGTATATTATACACCTTTACATTTACTTCGTATAAACCTACACCTTTTAACACAATCGGGCCCCACAATCGTCATATTATAATAGTTTTCCCTTGTGTTGTGTACACCACGGTGCAGGAAGAAGAATTACCCAGGGATCCCCCTCCCTTCAACCAACATTGAAGATAAACCCATTTGGGGTCCAACCTAGAGGTGATCATTGAGCGGGCCGGGCCGTAACTAAAAAAATGGCCGTTTTTCGGACCGGATTTTTTGTGCCTAAACCCGCCCAAAATGGTCGGGTCGTGCGGGCTTTTCGGGCCATTTTCGGGACGGGCCTAAAAATTAACTAAAAATGCATAAAATCGCATTCCCAAACCCGTCCCAAAAAAAAAAAATCGGCCCGGGCCATACTTGATCAGCTCTAGTCCAACCCCCTAAAAAAAAAAAATTTCAGTAAAATCCACTAATTGGCTAGCTCATAATTTAGATCCAGATGACAATCCTTGACATATCGTTGGTTATGGAAAGTGGATATCCCTTCAAAACAATCACTTTTCTTATGGCAGAGTTTCAATAGCTTTTGTTTAGAGTAAAAATACCTTAGACGCGTGGACCAATAAACTAGTGACACGTGTCCCCTAGGGCAACGCTCAAAAAGTCAACCAAGGCATGACACGTGGCACCAGACAACATCAGGGTAAAACGGCCTTCAAGCCCAATTCCCAAGGAATCATAAAAACAGCATAGCCCATTTACCTATGTTAAATAACTTAGGAGGCATGCACTCCCATACACTATAATTAATGTTCATAAATAAATAGTAGGACACATTCATTACAACATTTAATACAATAATTACATTCAATCCGAAACTGAGAGAATTACTCTGATCTTTTAGCTTTCAGTTATTACTACCCACTTTCCAGTACTAACTTGACCATTAAACTGGGGCTTTCGTTATTTTGTCGGTACATCGCATCAAGTGGGCTGTATTCAGTATTGTAACTCTCTTGCAGGAGCCATTCTGAAAACCTCGAAACAACTTTAGTGTTCAAGACACTCTGCTTAAATGATAATTTATTCTAAAAATACATGGCCTTTGTGTAACCATCAAGTAGAATTCATTGACCATTTGTTTTTAAAGTGTGACAAATCTTCCTTCTTTTGGCTTCACCCTGTAACTGCCGCTTGGTTCAGTTGATCCCTTCCCACACAAGGCCTAATCGATACCTATTATCTCAAAAAAATCGTAACCTAATGGAAATCCATATTCTTACTTTGAAGCATTTGGAAATAGTGTAATGTATGTTATCATTTATTTTCCAAAGTAATAGTTTTGATCCAGTTATGATATACCATGGAGGAGTTTTTGCGTTCAATGAGTGGGAACAAAGAAGCCTGATTGATATATACCTTCTACTCTTCAAGATCTTATATCACGAGATCTCCCCCCCCCCCCCCCTATTCTTTCCTTCACAAGCAGCAGCAACATCACCATCATCCTTCCTCTATTCTGGTTGTTTGGACACCCTCTCATCCAAATTTCTTCAAACTAAATTTTGATGGGTCGGTTCGAAACAATTCACAAGTAGCAGATGTCATCATCAAGGACTGCAAAAGTGCCCTATTTTCGGCACCAACTTACAACCTTGAAAATACAAAGGTGTTTGTTGCAAAAACAACTTCTCTTGATAAAGTCATAATGCTAGAGCTTTGACAGGATGTCCTTAACATCGAAATCGAAGGTGACAACTTACTCATTGGCAATGCAATTACATCCAAGTGGTCCATCCCATAGCAAGTCCAAAACATCATTGAAGACTCATATTCTATTGACAAATTTTGACAATTGGAGCATCAAACTAACGCGTCTATGGAGAAGCAAATCGAGTAGCAAATTGAATAGCATATGTAGGCCATCTAGCGGTAGATTCTATGTTAATTAATGATTGTACATTTGTACTAGCTCAAATCTAGCTTTCATACTCCAAATTTACACAATAGGGATTCCCTTCGTGGGAAGGATTTTATATTATTATTTCCTTTCACCTTTAAAAAAAACTGATATATCGCAATTGTTTTCCCATATATTCAAATAATCAAGAATATTTTGAAAATAGACTTATCAAATTGGATTATTAGTTCATTTTATTTGTGTCGTTATTTTCGAATTAGAAGATTCGTTTTGAATCTAGTCACTTTCGAAATTATCCCATTTTCGAAAACATAATCAATTTTACCCGAATTTATTTATTTTAAGACTAATTAACCCGATTCGGACCAATCCAAGACATTCAATGGTGTTACTTGTGTGATTATGTCAAGTCTACTTTCTCAAGTGGCAAACACAACATCTAAAAACTCTTCATGATTGTTCTCATGCTTATTTATTGGACCCACAAAGCCCCAACTTTCATGACTTTCTTCTCTAAAATACAAATTAAATTAAACAAAAAAATCAATCAATCAATTAACAAAAAAAAGCCAAAATAAAAAATAAATAAAATAAAATTATTCTTTGGATTGCGTTGAGTCTACGCCTTTTCTGAACCCTTTCCTGTCTCTGCCTTGGCCCTACTCATATTCTCCCAGAAACTTCCTACTTTAGATATTCCTGCCCCCTTATTATGACGTAATTATTCCCTTTTATTCCGTAATTAATATTCACTTAAATACGTCAACTTCAACATTCAATCTCAGCCGTTGATTTTGTACACGTCACACCGTCGATTTAGCTGACCGACAGACCGACTCTTAAAGTATATTCACCCCTTTTAACCATGATTACTTATAACGCAACTATAGTTATTATAATTATTCTTTTTATTTTTAATTACTACGTATTTTTGTGGCTAATAACCGACATAAAAAATAAAATAAAAAATCTCTATATATAGAGCTCCATTACACTTAGATTTAATTTATTAGAAAATCTTTGGTTTAATTTTTCTGCAGAAGCGAATCAATCTCTTCAGGTATTTTCTCTCTCCTAAATTTTTGGTTTCTTTTGATTTTTGCTTTGTTTATTTATAATCCATAATTTCTGGGTTGATTTTTTCTTGTTTTCTGGAATTGAATTTTCTTTACAAATTTGATTTTTGGAATTATGATCATGATCATGTTTTGATGTGTATTTTCGGATTGATCTGGAGTTGTTTTTCGTTTGTTTGATTGATCTTGTGTAATTTTAGTATGATATTTTGATCGTTGATTATGATTTTAATTGATCCAAAATTTGTGAATTGTTTCAAGAAAGTTGTTAGGTTTTGATCGCTGATTACAAATTAAATCATGTTAATAATATAATTCGTATGGGATTGTTCTACTGATTGTTTTTTGGTATGTTTGTTTGATTGCGCTTATTTGGGTATGTTAGGGTTTTCTTTAACAAATTTAATTGGTAATTGATCGCTGATTTTGATAATTTAATTGCTGATTATGGTTTTGCTTATGTTTTAAGAACTGAAATTGATGATCAAGTTGCTGTTAATATGAGATTGATGATTTAAAGATGATCACAAGAGATTGTTTAAATTGCCTTCGAATTTGATACTTGATTGTATCGATTGAATTAGATACCATATATTTGCATGATTAGTTGTATACGGAGCATTTCTTTTTACTGATTGTTGTATATTGGGATTGATTGCAGTTTACGCGCTCACAAAACAAACCCTCTTAGGACCGTTTTCGAGTTTTCGACAATCAAGGTACATGGTTGATCTAGACATTCAGATCCCCGCAGCTCTTGACCCGTTTGCAGACGCCGAGTCGGAAGCTCCTGGAGCGAAGGAGTATGTGCACATTCGAATTCAGCAAAGGAATGGAAAGAAAAGCTTGACGACTGTTCAAGGGCTGAAGAAGGATTTCAGCTACGAAAAGATCCTCAAGGACCTCAAGAAGGAATTTTGCTGTAATGGGAATGTTGTGCAGGATAAGGAGCTAGGAAAGGTTATCCAATTGCAAGGTGATCAGCGTAAGAAGGTCGCCAATTTCCTCGTTCAGGCTGGCCTTGTTAAGAAGGATCGGATCAAGATTCATGGTTTTTAAGCCTTGAATTCTATTCAACTGATGAACTATTAGTTCGATTTCTGTTTTCGGAGTTTTTATTGCTTTTGATGTTTGTGGTTTGAACTTGATTTCCTTGAGTTTGTTCTAGTTTAATGCATCCATGGATGATAGTAGTGTGGAATGTAAAACAGCTTTCGAAGTTGGCACTGATAAATAAAATTGGATGTTTTGTTGGTTTAAAACTGCGTGTTCTTTATCTGTTCTTTGAATCCTTGTTTCTTATTTCGTATAATTTACTCTCTATCGGGAAGTAATGGTCATTACATATCCTAATTAATTAGGATGTACTCGATTGATTCAGACTCGTCGCTTTTACTCAACCAGAAATAGCAATTTAATCCCCTTTTCACAAAGACTAATAATATTTGTGTCATATTTATACAATGGGACTGATTTTCTTGGAGTCGGCTAAAACCGAGTTTTCTAAAGTAAGAAGAGTGGATTTCTTCGCTGATATGTATACATGAGCATCAATGGACTCTGTGAGACAAACCTCGCTCTCCTTTTAAAACTCTTCTAAAGCTAACTGAGCAAGGACGGTAAGTTGATGCATCAGCTTGACCCACTGTCATAACAGAGGGTAGGACAGTAGGTTGAGCAAGCTTGACCTAATGGCCTGTTTCCTGTGAACTGTCACGACTTCACGAGTGTGTAACCAGAGGGGGCAGGAAGCCAGGAAGTGAGGCAAGCATAATGCGTAGCAACAGCAACGGCATTTTCACAACTGGATTTTATAAACTGTAACGAGTACAAAATACTGCTCCCGGCATCCATGCTTTCTTGTCCGGACAGCTAAAAAGTAAAAACCTAATAAAAGATGCTACTATTATTGGAGTGGCAACTGGACAATGAACTCTGGGTAAAAAAGGTTTCTTGAAAAGATAGCTTACAAATGGGTCCTCTGAGAGGCTATGTAGAAAACACATACGGAGTATATAACTCTCTTTAAGGTTGTTTTGTCGCCCAACAGCTAGAAAATTAACACAAATGAGAGCCATTAGTTTCTCCGAGCGCAATACAGAAATCTTCAAACATGTCCAAAAATCTTCCAACTCAAATTTAAAATAACATCACTCCCAAGTCCAAGGGATATTGTGTATGCACAAACTTTTTACAAAAAACTCAACCATGTTACAATGATGGGCCTCATCCGACTTGGTCATTTGATCTAGGGGAACCAGCCTGTCTTTCTAACCAACAGTGTCCCTCGAACATCACCTTGCAGTAGATAGGTGGAACGATCACACAGAATAAGAAGTATATCAAAAGAGTTTAGCAGCTGGATTCTGGGTACCACTTCTCATCATTGCAACAAACTCATCAAAGTTTATTCTTCCATCCTGCAAACAGAATTAACACAATGCATGATTAAAGGCATTTTATTGATTAGGAAATCCAGGTAACTCAAGGGATGGAGCAAATCTTACATTGTCAGTGTCGACTTCCGTCAATATATCTTTGATGCAGTTCTCATCAGCAATCCCATACTCCCTCATTGCTGCTTCTAGCTCATCTGTGGTGATGAACCTGAGACATTTGATCAAAATGACAAGTATAAGCAATTGAGATGATAAACAATCTTCACCAACAAAGTGAACAATTAAAATTACAGATTTTAAGGACCGGAACATATTCTTGTCTAATTTTAGACGGTGACTATTGGCTGGAAAATGATTCATCTAGGAGGTAAACACGCTGAGTATTTTTGTATACATGTGGAAGTTGATATGATAGCGCAAGTCTACATAATGTTCATGATCTTCACATCCAGAGGTATAAAACCCACGAAGTACTTTGTTAAAAAGGAGCCACTCACCCACTATTATCTTTGTCAAAAAACTGGAATGCTTTGTAAAGTTGGTCATCTCTCTCAAGCCTATACCGATGCATTGTGGCTGTGATAAACTCGATGTAATCAATTGATCCACTTCCATCTTGATCAGCCTAAAAAGAAAAAATGGAAGTCAGCCAGAGAAGAAGTGCATGCGGCATGCCATAGTAAAGTCTCATTGTTTCTCATATTAAATATAATTCATGTCTTACAGCTTCCATGAGTGCCTTCACTTCAGTTTCAGTAAGCTTTGATCCAAGACGGGCCAATCCCTCTTTCAATTCTTCGTAGGTGATTGTCCCACTTCCATCAGTGTCCATGTTTGCAAACATCTGTTTCAGCCCTTGGATTTCTTCTGCAGGAAGATTCTCAGCGATGACCTATGCCCAACAAACCAATACATTTATATCCTTTGAAATTATTTCTGACATTCATACAGCACATATGATGTTCCAAGTTTAGACACCTTATTGTGTCAGAAGAAAGGAAAAACAAAAATAGAGAAGAGGTTTACAAACCTTCAGTGCTAGTTGCTTGAGCTTGTTCATGACTCTAAATTGCTTCATCCTGGAGAGAACAGCACTATCAATAGGCTTGTCTGAGGCCTCACCATCCTTGAGCCATGGATGATCTGCATTGTTGACATGAAACTTTGAGTTTCAGGACATAGATGCAAATCAAATAATACCACAGTTAACAAAGGCACAGCAGTCCATAGATGATCAAAATTCAAAAAAGAACTTTGGGAAGACATCAAAATTCAAGGGATGCTTGCCACCTCTAGAAATACATCAATGGATGCCCACCCAACAGCTGGAGATTTTATGGGGGCAAGCACATGAAATTTTTCCCTAACGCTGCCCTAAGCAATTCCTACTTGCTACTTCACTTCGATGTTCCTTTCCCCACTAATATTAATACCAATTCAAAGATTTCTGAGCCCCATCAATACAAAGGAAGATTTGGATTTTAGTATCAGGTTGTGCGAAATTGGAAAAATATTGCACAGAAGATAGAACCCAATTTACTCATCAGCAAAGTTTGTTGTAAACAACAGAGCATTAATCATTACATATTTAAAGCAACTGTAAGCCAATATTGCATACCAAGAACTTGAGCAGCAGTGATTCGTTTTTTGGGATCTGATGTCAACATCTTCTTTACTAGGTCCTTGGCGCCATTAGAGATTGTTGGCCATGGCTTACATTCAAAATCAATATGTCCTTGCAGGATAGCATCAAATATCCCTTTTTCTGTTTCTATATCACAAAATTATGATCAAGTAATTAACAAAGGCATCAATGATACAATATTTGTAATAAACTAAAAATACAGGAAAGAAATTTTACCAGCCCAAAAGGGTGGAACACCACTGAGTAAAATGTACAACATAACTCCAGCACTCCAAATGTCAATCTCCTTGCCATACCTACGACGCAATACCTCAGGAGCAACGTAGTAAGCACTACCTACTATATCTCGATAGACTTTACCTGAGAGGAGAAATATAAAAAAAGGGATTTACAGCTCTGAGTAAAACAATCAGATCAAGTTTCACATCCCCAACAGTCAACAGTAAAGGATGTATGGGCAATCTTACATTACAATGCAATCAAGATCAGCCTCCTAAGTACATTGAATATGGGCAATCCCTAATCAACAAATTGTTAAGACAACCCCCACATCTCTAATCAACAAATAAAAAAGTCAACCCCACATCTCTAATCAACAAGTTCCTAAACAAGATCATAACAAGTATCATAGAAATTCACTACAACAATCCACCATCAATTCACAGGTCAATGGATCCGCGAAACAGGACAGATTAACAATTCTGTTGTCCTGCAACAACCTAGCACAAAACCATGATCTATATGCTCAGATTAAAACCATCCAATCACTATTTCCCAAACCAAAACAATCAAGAAAACAAGCAAAATTAAGCAGATAAACAGCTGACAAACTCTTAAATCAGTATACCTTCTTCAATAAACACAGAAAGCCCAAAATCAGTAGCTTTCAAAGCAGCATTTTCATCCTTACTAGAAAGCAAGAAATTCTCAGGCTTCAAATCTCTATGCATCACACCCATAAAATGACAAACATGAACAACATTAACAATCTGCCTCAAAATAGTAGCAGCAGCTTTCTCACTGTAATGCCCTTTAGCAATGATCCTGTCAAACAACTCTCCACCAGCACACAATTCCATGACAAGATTAACAGATGTCTTATCCTCATAAGCTCCCTTAAATTCAACAATATTAGGTTGACCACTCAAATGTTGCATGATCTGAATCTCTCTTTTCATATCCTCTTTATCAGCTCTTGTCACAAGTTTTTTCTTTGAGATTGACTTACAAGCTAATTGTTGACCTGTTTGTTTATCAACACAAAGATAGGTTACACCAAATTGACCTCTACCCAATTCTTTCCCCATTGTATAGTGCATCTTCACATCTTCAAAGGGTTTTCCAACAATTGTATTTGAATCAGTTCTTGCAGCTGATTTAGCAGGGCTTGGGACTCGAACAGGCGGTTGCGCAACCGGTCTCTCCGGTGGCGGCTGCTGAGGATACTGCTGATTTTGCCCAGCTGATGATGTTTTTGATTGATTTTGCTCATTTACTCCTCTACTATACCCATTTTGCTCTTGTTTTGGATCTTTGTTTTTGCTTGCACAAATACCCATTTCTTAAAATCCCCTTCAATCTTGCAATAAAAGTAAAAAATTAAAAAAAATCAGAAGATTTGGATCAAATTTCAGCACTGAATTCAACTATCTGGGAAAAATGAACAATACCCAGAACCCCAATTGGTGATTTGAACAGGGTTTATTATGAAATTCAGCACTAAATTCAGCAATTAGGGTGGAAATGAACAATACCCAGATTGTGATTTGAACAGGGTTTTAAGAATTTCAACTCTAAATTACGAAAAAGTGTTTGTGTTTTTTTTTTTATTTTATTTTATTTTAATTTTTTAATTAAGGAATAATAGATCAAGGGTTATTGTGTTAATAGAAATACACTGAAGAAAAAGGTGGAGAGATGATTGAAGGAGAAATAGTCAGCTGAATCATGTGTTGAAATAATGGAGAGTTGAAAGTTTCAAGCAAGTTAAAAGGCCTGTCAAAATGGTAGATGAGGAGAGGGAAAAGGGAAGGAAGAAAGTACCTGCTGCTGTATCTGTAATCTGTATGAAAATGGCAAAAATTCGGGCCGGCAAAAATCGGGCTAATTGTATAACAGTAATTGATTTGATTTTATAAAACTTCGGATTTTTGGCGTATAATTATAGGAAAATTTGTTTTTAATAATCTCAACTTTGACCGGCTTGTTGTTAAATATTCCTCTTTTGATTATTATCAAATAGTCCCACCTTTAGACGACATTCTCTTCTACTGGTCCCTTGTGATCGGTAACTTATACGTTGATTTTTTTTTTATTTACTAAATGACATGTGTCACTACACGAGTGGATACAAAAAATATAAAAATAATAAAAAATAAAAAAAAAAATATTCAAGGCCACAACACTTCACCTCCTTGTTCGCCACCTCCCTCCTCACGCACAACCACAACAACCACCGCACTTTCTGAGTAGCAACCCACAAAACTTCACCTTCCCACCACTCTCCCCCTCACAGCTCGTACTCCCTCAACATCAACAGCGCAAAAGCGGATAGCAGCAACCCAACCACCCCAATCACAATCGCAACCACCGTCGCGCCACCCATGCAACTCTTACGCACATCAATGCCAACCCAAATTCGATCACCCAACAAATTGTGATTATTGAAGCATCGCAACCCCAATGTTCGCTCCACCGTCGCACCATCAAATTCGCTCATACTTCCTGGATTAACAAGAGCAGACGGTTTTCGTTGGGTGAGGGTGGGGAAGGGGTTCCCGTAGTGGGAGGTAGGGAGGGAGGTTTTCGGAGGGTGGAGGGCGTGGGGAGGGGATGGATGGCGGAGGGTTTGGGATAGGGACTTGTTAAACATCGCCCGCGTTTTTCTACATAAAGCCCACATTTTTTAAAATTTTTGACATTATTGCCCTTGTTTTAATTTTTACCGAAAATAAAAATTTTCACTCACCAAAAATGTGGAGCAGGACTGGATCGCCGAGTGAAACCGAAGAGCCCTCAACGTCGGCTAGATGCACCGGAGAGACGCCGTTGACGCCGGAAAAGGAGGTACGAAGCCATCTAAAACCACGAATTGGCGGCTGGCGTCCTGCCGGGACGCCGTGAACGTAGTGGTGGCGCCTAGCCAGGACGCCGCCACCGTGGCGATGGCGCCTGGCCAGGACGCCGCCACCGTGGCATTGGCGTCTGGCCAAGACGCCGCCACCATGAAAGCGGCGTCCTGGCCAGGCGCCATCGCCACGGTGGCGGCGTCCTGGCTAGACGCCATCGCCACGGTGGCGGCGTCCTGGCTAGGCGCCACTGCATTTATTTATTTATTTATTTTTTTAATTTAATTTAAAATTTGTTTTTTTTTTTTTTTTTTTTTGTGTTAAAATTTTTTTTCGTTTTTTTTTTTGTTTTATTTTGTTTTGTTTTTAATTGTTTTAAAATGTAATGTAAAATTTTGTGTTTGATTTTTGTGTTTTTGATCGCTATGTTTTTTATGTGTATGTTTTTTTTTTGTTTTTATTTTTTATTTAATCTAAAGTTTTGTTTATGTTTTTTATTTTTAAAATTTGTTTTTTTTTTTTTGAATACTTTTTGTTTATGTTTTTTATATATTTGTTTGTTGTTTATATTTTATTATTGTTTTTGCTTTTGTGCTAATGTTGTGTCAAATGTATTAATTTAATCTAATCTTATGTGATTATATTTATATGTTATTGTTGCAGGATTATGGTGGAGACGGAAATGATTATAGTGGGATTTTTGTACACGATGGTCTGTTCGAAGATGCTCAACAAGCGGTTGATTGGGCGAAACATGTTGCAATTAGATCAGGTTTTTGTTTAGTAGTAGCAACTCATAAATCTCAACGGGATGGTAGAATGGATCGCATTTTGAGATGCGACCGTTATCGCAAAAGGGAGGAACGAGATTTCAGTCAAGCGATTCGGTTTGATACAAAGCGGAAAGGTTGTGGGTGTCAGTTCAGAGTAAAGGTTCGACAACAGCAAAGGGGTGACGGTTGGGAAGTGAAGAGTTACGGTAAATGGGGGTATCACAACCATGAGATGATCGCATATGAAGTGGGTCATCGACAGTTAAGTGGCCTAAGTCCTGGTGCGAAACTAATTGTAAAAGAAATGAGTGATGCTCAAGTGAAGCCTGCTAAAATATTAGCATCTGTGTTGGAGAAATTTCCTGAAGACCAGCCAAACCGAAGACACATCTACAACGTCAGACATAAATTGAGGTTTGAACGGTCAGAGGGAAGGAACCCTATCCAGCAGCTTCTACACCAGGCACAAGCACGTGGTTACCTGTACTGGTTTGAATCTGATGAAGACACATCGGAGGTGACTCATTTGTTCCTTGTGCATCCTGATTGTGCTGATATGATTTCGTCTTGGCCATCTGTGATTCTGATCGATTCAACGTACAAGACAAACAAGTATAAGTTTCCACTGGTTGAGATGGTTGGGATGACTCCAACGAACCAAAACTTTTTGATTGGTTATGCAGTTATGAAGGATGAGACGGTTGCGAGTTACCGTTGGGTGTTGGAGAAGTTGAGAAATTACATCGGCCCAAGTGTTCAGCCATCGGCCATCGTCAGCGATTGTGAGGGAGGTCTCTTTGCCCCTATAGCGGAGCTGTTTCCGGAGTCGAGCCATTTACTGTGCACATGGCACATCAACAACTGCGTGAAAGTCAAAGCCTACAACCTTTTCAACAAGAACTTAGATTCAGCAGAGAGATTGGTAAATGGTAAGTGGCGGAAGATCCTGCAAGCTACTACGGAGGCAGAGTACGACCGAGCCTTGGATAACTTCAAGGATGCTTACCAATGGTGCCCGGCAATCGTAGACTATGTGATGCAGCAGTGGGTGCCTCAGAGGGAAAAGTTTGTCAAATATTGGACAAACCAAGTTCTTCATTTTGGAAACACTACTACATGTAGAGTTGAGAGCGCTCATAGAGCTCTGAAGGACTGGATTGATTCTTCCACCTCTGCTTTGGATACACTGTTCGGGAGAATAAACAAGGCTATTGATACTCAGAGGAACGGCATCAAGAACTCTCTCGAGGACTCCAGACGGCGACATGGCACGATGTATAGCCATTTCATATTTAAGATTCTCCATGGTCGTGTGTCACACTACTGCTTGGGGTTGATTCTGAGCGAGCACACCAGGATGAGGGAGTTGGGTGATGAAGTGGCTATTCGGTGCGGATGTGCTTTATCGGTGACTCATGGACTACCTTCTGCATGCACCATTCACCGCGTAATTACGCAAGATAGGGCGTCGTTACATGTTGATCAGGTTCATCCATTCTGGCGGACGCTCGTTATCGGAGAGCATGCTGTTCCACAGACAGTCAACCGTGAACAGGAGGAGTTGGAGCAGTTTCGTTCGATGTTTGACCAAGTGTCCTCCAGCCACCCTTCAATCATTCGTAGTGCTACCCACGTACTTCATGACATGTTCAACTCGTCGTGCTTGGATCATGAGGAACCTGAGGGGGTCGAGCGACCACGAGGCCGACAACCACGGCGGGAAAGGAGTGCGTTTGAGTATATTCGTGGTCGTGGTCGTGGTCGTGGCCGTGGTCGTACATCGTCATCAAGTTGTAGTCAAACTTCTTCGTCGGTGAATATGCCCGGCACCGGTACGGTACTTTAGTTTAATTTACTTTTTAGAGTGTTTGTTTAGTTTTCTGCTGACTTGTTAATTGTGTTTTTTGATGTGTGCAACAGGTAGAATGGACATTGAACATTTTCCATATAAAGACAGGATCCCTAACATCATGATGCCGTTCCTGGACGGGTGGAATGATGTGGTTGCAGATGGTAACTGCGGATTTCGGGTTGTGGCTGATGTGTTTCAGATGGGTGAAGACAACTACGGTTTAGTGCGTCAGTTGATGTACAGTGAAATCGCCTCAAACCGAGTTGTTTATCGCCACGTGTACGGACAGGACTTGGATAGGTCTCTGCAATAACCGTATCGATCGCAGGCGGTCAATGGACTTCTTCTCGACACGCGGACTCCACGCACAGGCACGTGGCTGGCCATCCCCAATAGGAACCGGGTCGCGGTGTGGTCGAAACGCCGGGAAATACTCGTATATCCACGTCTGTAACAACGTCATACATCCAGTGATACCTGCCGCATCAGCCCGGCTCGAGAATCCTAACTGGCGATACATGTACGCTAATGTAGCCGACCCCCAAGAAAACTGGCCTACTCTGTCGGGCTCACACGCGTCAACTATGTCGCGTGGCCTGAGCTTGTTTCCGCTCTTATCCGGAAACAAGGTACACCCGAGAAGAAGAAAAACATATGCAGCCAGCTGTGTGTCGTGCGTCCTACGTGAAGTGGGGTGCAAACATCGCTGCAAAACTGCTGCGATCTTAACACCGCCGTGATCCCACACACCAAGTGCCGCTGTGTACAGCGCAGCCCTATCCACCGCCAACAGCTCCGCCAATAAATCTGCCTGATCCGCATCTGTGACAAGAGATGATCGGTTTCCCTCTACGGGAATCCCAAGGATGGCCTCGACGTCATGCAACATGATCGTCATCTCACCGAACGGAAGGTGGAAAGAGTTCGTGTCCGGCTGCCATCGCTCAACGAAAGCCGTGATCAGCGTCGAGTCAATCCTCTCATGCATGGTGGCAGGAAGGTGGCTCACTCTAGTGCCCCTCAATCGGCCGACCATCTCGCTCTCCTCCGGCCAAGCCTCAGCCCAACTACACAAGAAGTTACAAGTCCTCTCCCGGGTTTGGCATTTCAAAATGCCGCTATCCAAAGCCCGCTCTTGGTCCTCCCAAATACGGGTAGCGATGTGTCCTAGAAAGCTAGGAATCACACTCCCGTCTATAGGTCCCCCAGCCACCTCGCCCCTCACCACCCAAGAATCATTAACGGCCCTCGACCGTTTTCTGCTAACCGCAGACACAGTGGACGCAGATGATGTGCCAGATCTACTAACAAATCTACCATCTCTACCCTTACGCACGTCTACCCTACGCGTCTCATACACATCATCAAGCCTCTGACTGAATGGACCGTAATCATCATATGGTCCACTCTGATCGTCCACATCCTCATCTGCATCCTCCTCCTCCTCCTCCTCATCACCGTCATCATCTTCATCATCCTCAGAATAGTGCACCCGTTCTCTACGAGCCGAGGCCGAAATACCACGGGATCTAACGTGTCTGGGCCCCGAGCTCTCCATTGAGTTGATCGTACTTCTCATAATGTCCATACTCTTCCCAGCCCCAGAACGAAAATACGATGCCTAACACAAAATAACAAAACATGTAATATGCAATAT